GCCATTGGGACCAACTTGAGTATCATTATTGTAAACAAGAAGGGAGCTGGTGAACATCTCACCACGTGCACATCTGATGTTCTCCTACAGGACCTCAGCTCCCCTCTTGGCACCATAATCGGCTCTCTTTAGATCTACGAAGACTTTGTGCAACTTTATCTGACCATTTCCATACTTCTCCAATAAYACTCTCAAAGCATAATGATCTCCGCCTCACTTTTTAACCTGGCTTTAACAACTCTATTTATATCATGTTCATAACTTCATGGTCATTTGGTCTATCCCGTGGAAGGTACCATAACTCTGCACATTCTCCTAGTGCTAGACAATAATTCAGTATTGATATATACAGTATTGCGATAGGAAACATTTCAATAATACTGATATGACTTTTAAAGAAATTCTGTCGATATTCGTTACGTCAGAAAGTGACGATGTACACAACAGGCTCAATGCTAGTGCTCAACTCTACCTCTGTTTACACCATGCTAACAATGCTACAGACAACACTGTGGATACCTRCACTAAAATGAGCTCTACAGTAGGTGGTGAACAAGTGTTCACAGTTGGAAAAAGAAGCAGAAGAAATAGTTCAGAWAGAAAAGACTACTGTAATTCAGTGGTGTAGAASTGGTTCGGGTATCGAAGGTCTGATAAACTTCAGTTTTCAGTCTGCTTAGGACCTGCAGTGTGAACGTAGCCTTAAAATGGATGTGAAGTGTCATGATGTCACATGAGATAATGCATAAYATTATTTATAAGGTTTCACCCAAATGCTTCAAATATTAAGTTCAAATCAATTTTTCAACGTAAGATTGTCATGGTCTGAGATTTTGGCACGGAAGTTGGTGGGTCAGTCTAGTCAGAAAGTTTGGATTTGTTTTTTTTTTTTTCTTCTATGATTTAGAATTAATCGTTTCTCAATTTCTTTTTAAGCGAATGGTTTTGTCTAAAGGTTTTGGATCTGTGGTCTCAGTTAGTTTCACTTATTGATTTTAGGTTTCAGTTTCCTCATTACAGCAGCTTAGGTTTTAGTTCATCAACATCTCTCTCTCAGTCTGTGTACTGTATATCATTTTAAGTTTTAGTTGTTTTTGTCTCTGAGCATTGTCAGTACCTTCTGTTTTAGTTAACTAAAGCTTATTTATTTACATCATGAGTAAATTAGTTTATAAGTTAGTGTATTCATATTATGGTATACTGTACATTACAACACAGGATTACAAGCAATAGATTCTTCTGGAAGATATCTTCTTATGTATTTTATGGTTTTCACTCCTTGTTGACTTAATATAGAGAGAGAATGGGGAGTTAAACAACAACAAAACTAAGCTCAGAACATATTTGTTTCTTCACCTGCTCYTTTTTTATGATGGCTTAATGTTTARATTGCAGAAACTTGCRTCCTGAGCTCATCTGAGTCTAGAGAGGTGTGAAGTGGTTCCAGACAAACAAGAGTTGTTACCTTGAGACATGTGCCAACACAGCGAGGTGGGCAGAGAATATTAAAAGTAATCACATCCCTTCTCTCTTCAGCAATAGGAGCATGGACCTGAGCCTGCGAGACGCTCTAGGTGGGGGTGGCGGYGGGGCCCCAGCAGAGGCCCTGCTGAAGAGAGACTTCGTGGCCTCGCTGGAGAAAGAGAGTTACGATGACAAGGTGGGAGAAACGGTCTCCAAAGCTGACTACAGACCCTTGCTGGACGGGAAGGACACCAAGAGCGGTGAGTTGCCTCCGGCGTGTTGACAAAGACGAGAAGATGAGCAGCTGTGGAGATTTAATGTGATAGTGAACTCAGTGTGGCCCTTCGCTTGAYGTAGAGGAGCTGTGAGTGAGGTGGCTGATGGGCACGTAGACAAACCAAATCATCTGTCCAGATGTTTTGGCCTCATGAGGCTTGAGTTTGACAGTCACTTAAGTTTCTGGTAAAAAAATGTCTTAAGCATAAATAAGTTTAAACAATAACACAAGTTTAGGATTAAGCAGCAGCACCTAAATGTTGCGATCACTTGTAGAGCTCAGTCTCTTGAAATAATTCTACTTGATGCCACCTTTTATCAGACATCCTGTAAGGTTTATGTGAAATATTGATTTGAACTTAATATTTTATACTGAAGGCTTTCTGCAGGCATTTCTTTCTCCGATAATTTAATGGTGTAGTTTTCAGTTTTAGTTTTGCTTCAGAAAACACCATACGGCAGATTACAGAATATGTACTCTTCAGAAGATGGCCTCAACAATACATAGAAACTTAAAAGCAACATATCCTTTTCGTTTTGATGATCACRTGTAATTAGAAGCTGTTTGCATTATTTCCCTTCATTTCTCCTCGTAATCCAACAAGAAAATCCTTTGATTTAAAATATGTATTTCAGAGTATGTTAGTAGGACCTGCACTGTCTGTGCTTAGAAACAGAACAAGCTCTGTGTAAAGTTGAGCTGGGAGGTTAAGATTTAAGCAACACTTGAAGGAAAAAAATAAAGAGAAAAGCAGGACTTGACGAAGATGAGAGTGAAGGATGGTGGGTGAAGTAAATAGCTCAAACTCAAAAAGCCCTCTTGACACAGACATGGATTATCATAGCTCAGGGATTTGTTCCAACTTAGTTAAAGCAGGAAGGGGCCTTTATGCTAACAAGGCATAGCATATTAGCATTCTGTTGACTTTAAGCTTGTTTTTGCTGTCTGTAAGTGTTCCTGTGTGACATATCCCATAATATTTGTAGCTGTGGTGATGCTATGATCCGACTGTCTAGCCATCACAGTTTGGAGTTTGTCTAATGTGATTTAACCCTTGTGTTTCAAAGGTTGATAAAACCAGATTTAAAACACTGATTTGATGAGCAGATTGTTTTCCTGGAGCCTGAAAATCTTCAGTACGTTGGTGAACACTTTTTCCCCTCAGAAGAAAGGATGTTTTTGCTTTGCAGTCTTTTCATGCACTCTTTATGCCTTTGTACGTTTTTCTCTAGGTCGCAGTCTAAAAATACTTTTGTATTAGTTCATTTGGGATTTTAAATTGCCTGGAAGTGTCAGCGAAAGCAAACATTTTCCTGATTAAATGCTGTGAAAATGACTGGATTTCTATCATTTTGTTTTACTGAACCATCTCTTCTTACAAAAACTTGTTTGATCAAAGTCAGAATTTGTTTTAATATTTAATGTTATTTTAATCAGTATATGTGGGAAACAAATTTGGCTTTTTGGATACATTTAGAAAAGCAGAAACCAAGAGGTAGTGGTGTTTTATTATCAGTCTTATAATTATCTAAGGCAAATGTTTGACTTCATCATTGCTTCTGAGTAGTTACCATCTGCCATGAAAGGCAGGTGATCATGTATTTTCTTTCATATGTCTCAGTGTGTTCTTATTTGTTTGTCATGTTACGTTGGGATTACACAGTAACATTACGGTGCCAATTTCTAGGCCCGATTTTTCCCTTTCAACAACCTTAAGAACGCCCGAATTATCCTGATGGCTCTAAAGAAGATCTGATGAGATATTCCTGCTGTGTGTGGTGGTTAAGAGTTATCTAGAATGACGGCAGGACCGCTCCTATCTCAAATTGGGGATATTCAACATGATGGTTTGTCTTGGCGTGTGTGGAGTTCCCTGAGGACAAACGAGCATGCAGCCTGTTGAATGTGGCGTGTAGACAATCGGAAAACGAGGTGACAGAAGCAGGGAGGGGAATTCAAAGCACAAAAGGCAAAACAACCACCAGAAACTTCAGTGGGCGTTTTTTTTTTTTTTAAATAGTCCACAAACTATCATCATTGCTTCTTCCTCGTCGGCCATGTTGATTCACTCTGAACTCACGTTTGAACTCGAGAGGTCTCATGAGATTTCCCGTCTGACATMTGAATGTTMATGGGTGAAATCTGTTCGTGTGGTGTGTGTTGTCTTTTGCCATGTTGTTGTTTCCACACACTGTAGGACCAAACCTGTTAGGATTTTTTTATCGTCATGTGTGGGGTCTCAGTCTCTGAAAACCAGCTGACATTTTTAAACGAACCAGGCATTCGAGAAATGTCACAACAAGACACATTTTAATGAAATTCAACCCCCACAGCTAATAGACCAAACACATAAATAACAATAGCTAAAATTAGGTGTGGTAGTAGCTGAGAGTCATCTCCAACACGTACTCCAAGTTCTAACAGATTGTGCAAGATCTTGGTTTAAAACTTTTGCATACATACGGCGAGGAATATGCATTCTTTCACAAAATGCTAGTTCTATTTCAGCTGTAGTTCATCTTCCGTGTTTCCATTTTTCTCACTTTATCCTTTTGTCAGTTCCTTCTTGTCTCTGTGAAGCCACATCAGCCTGGAGACAGTCCTGCACAACATTGTTATCATCACACAAAGTTAACACCCGTCAAGTGTCACAGTTTGATCTAATGAGCTGAATATTAAGCTGTCCAGCTGTGGGACACGACAGAGGGCAGCTCTATGGAGGACCAGAATTTGGCAGGTGTTTCAATTCATGGCTCCAGATTACAAGAAGTGAATCATATTTAAATTATTCTTTGGCACATTAGATGAGTGTTACAGGGAATTTAGCAGCCTTGTTTTCTGAGGAATTAAAAATCTTTTTATTTTATTATTAAGTTTATGATGCCAGGAACATATAGAAAAAGGGTTGCATGATACTGGAAAAACAGATGTTGCAATTTTTACCAATACTGGGATTTTCAACAGATGACTTGAAAAACACTTTAGGTTCTGCTGCCATCTTGTTGTTCACAAACCTGCACCACTCTTACCTCTTTTTTGTGCGTTACAAGTATGTTTTTGTCTGTATTTGAGTTATCCTTGTTATCTTTTATTGCTGGATTTTATTGTGCTGGGGCCTGAGTACATGTTTCTTTCTATTGTACAAACGTGAATCGAGTTTTTCCCCCTAACGTGTTGCCTCTTTGTCAAGCTTAGTTTCTGTTTCCATCACACTTTAATATGATCATTCTTGCTATCTGTATTTTACTCTCTTTTTCTCTATTTCTCTGCAAATTGGCTAATTTTCCTCATTTTCATCAAGATCCTCATTGTTTTCCCCCACAGCTTGAGAATTGTTGCCATTATTGTCCCAGAAATTTCACCACAAATGTTTTTGTTTTAGTTTTTCTTGCACAAAGCCGCCCACGTCAAAATAAAAGATGCAACATCGCATGACCTGCAGTGTGATTGTTGCACACACGTACATTGTGATGATGATGCTCAAAACGATCTATCACAGGAAGGGAAGTAGAACTTGTTTCTTCACATGAAGCCCCGGCCTCCCTTGAAAAAGAGATCTATCTCAACGGGACTTGAGTGGTTAAATAACGGTAAAAATAATAATAATAATAATAATAATAATAAAGGACTTTTTTGCTTTAACACTTGTTTTTGTCAAATGTTCTAGTGATTGTGAGGTGTCCACACAAAGGACTAGATTTTAGATTTCACTCAGTTTACTTTATTTCACCAGCTGGATAAATTTAACAAGTGGAAAACCTTCAAACACAAGAAGAAACTGTTATAAATCATTTTGGTATTTTAAATGGTAAATAGACTGTCCTTGTATAGCGCCTTTCTACCCAACTAGGATACTCAAAGCTCTTCACATTACAATCTGTGCCCTCATTAACCCATTCACACAGCACTCTACTAGACCTCCTACAAAGCTAACRTWCAATCAACTATGGAGACTAATTTTAACACAGCGTTAGTTTACACCATGGCAAGTATTTCAACAAAGGAAGTTACATTAGATAAAAGTGAGTATAATTAGTTTATGAATAAATGTAAGTGTATTTAATTTATAAATAAATAATACGTTTTAACCAAGCAAAACTGAGCATTTTAATTGAGGTTTACTTTGTACATTTTTAACCAAACTTTATGCATTTTATCTTAATTTTAACTAAGATCATGGGAATGATTTAAAGGGGCAATATCATGTAAAATCAACTTTTTTGAGTTTTATATCATGTTATAATGTTATACTCTGATCAAAAACATGCCCAGAGTCTTGCCTTGACTCATTCATGCATGTTTGAGAAATCCTGTAGTGTCCTGAGGCAGCCGGGCAGGGGAGCAAAATGACTGGTCGGGACTTGAACCACCATTTGGAATCATCTCCTCCTCTGGGCTGTGTCTCTGAACGGAGCTTCCTCATCACAGAGCACACACACACACACACACCCAGCCCCGTGCTGAAATGGGCGGGACAGAAGCGGAAGGAGGTTCTTAAAGAGACAGAGACCAATTTTAAGGTGTTTAGAAACAGATATGATGAGAAGTCAAGTTTATTTTCTATTTAAACATATAAACAACATTTTAATAACAACTGAAGGTGACATAGGTACTTTTATTATGGTATAGAATTTAAATATATGCCTTAGAAACACATAATATTACCAATTGCCATTATTTACCTTTAAGTCCTTAAGTCCTTTAAGTTAAAAGTCCTGTTTTTCCTCACAGAGTTTCAGGGCCTTTGTGTAGCTTCCATCCATTCCTCTCGCTGTATCCCAGCCAGATGGCTGCTTTGCTGTATTTGTATTGTCTTTAAGTGCGAGCTGCTGATTGTTCTAATTAAGCTCACCTGGTGGAGTGCCCAGGGCGTGCAACAGTCACGTGTGCATATTCACATGCTCATTTCTGTGCGCATGCACGTCACAGTGTGAGGTGCGTGCAGTCACATGCAAGAACCAGAAGAAACAGCCAGCACCTCTT